CGCCATGTTGAGCCCGAGGGCGGCTGAACTCCCGCCTAAACTCTGTTCCAGGTTCCCCAAGACGCCCCAGGCCTGCCCCTGGCCAGGTGTCCAGGTGGTGTGGAGAAGAGGGGCTGCTGGAGGGGCTGCGTGGGTGCCTGGTCTCTCTCTGTTCAGCTTCACCTCCATAGAAGGGGTCCCCATGAGTCATGAGGAGCAGATCTGTTTTGGACCTTCTGGGCTGTACTGAGAGGCTTTTGGGGGGCACCTGTGTTCAAATTTGCCCGCTTGCTGTCCCTGGCAGCTACGCCATAGTTTGCTTGCCCTTGGCATGGTGAATCCTTCTTGTTGAAAAAGCAGGACAGAAACATTTCCCTGGGAAAAGGATGGCATTTCAAGGGCTCCCCCAGGAGGGAAACCTCTCACAAGGCATGTTCCCCTCCAAATTATTATCCTATTCCTGAAGGAAAAAGTGGGGAAGAAGTCAGCTGGGGGCTTGCCATGTCAAGAGCGGCAGCAGGAGCTGGCCCTACCCCATGATGAGACTGATGAATGCTGGCCCAGTAATGACTCTTCAGGTGTCACAAGGGAAGGGGACCATTGCGGCACTGTGACAGGCTCCTGCCGAGGGGTCGTTTAGCTGCATTAACTATTAATGATTGCTTTCTTCTTTGCACTTGTAACTGGGGTTCCTGCAATCCTTCTCCAGGATCCACCAGTCTGATCTTCTCTGCTGGCCCTACCATGATGAGACTGATGAATGCTGGCCCAGTAATGACTCTTCAGGTGTCACAAGGGAAGGGGACCATTGCGGCACTGTGACAGGCTCCTGCCGAGGGGTCGTTTAGCTGCATTAACTAATTAATGATTGCTTTCTTCTTTGCACTTGTAACTGGGGTTCCTGCAATCCTTCTCCAGGATCCACCAGTCTGATCTTCTCTCCTGGGACTGAACTAGAGGCTCAGCAACTTGGCGACCATCTGAGCCCTGCCACACGTTTTGCAGATGGCTGCTCCACGGAGCCCCCAGCGTCCCCCTGTCACCAGACAGGGTCAGACCTCCAGAACTGGCAGTGCCAGGTGCCACCCGGAAAGGGTCGGATCCTGGTGGCTGGATGTCGAGCAGGGTGTCCCTCCATCACACGCTGCCCACACACACACTTCAGCTATAGCTCTTGGGCTTGGGAAGCGTGGTGTTCGTTACCCATCACAAAATGCCGAGGCCTTTTGTTACCAGGCGAGCAGAAAAGCTCCCAGTTGAGAAGTGAATTTTGCGGTCAGTCCAGCTCCCACACCTTCAGCTTGAGTATACACTCTTTATTTAATACATTTACTTTATCCAGAAGCGGGGCCCAGACCCCCTGAGCTGGCTGAGGGATCACAGAGCTGTGCACACGTCTCCTGCTGCTTGAAGAAGAGCTTCAGGTGGAATGGGTCTTCCTGAAGGCAGTGTCTCCGGAGGCCAAGTGTCGTGGCTCGCTGCCGTCAGGGCTTTAGAAGCCACGGTAGGCGGGCTTGGTTGGATGAACATAGCTGAACAAGGCGTGTGCCCTGTCATGCTGCTTTTCAGGAAAGTAAAGGCATAGCTTGTCCAGCAGATGACCTGGCCAGAAGTTATTGTCGTTTGACTTTTGCATCTTATTCCTCTGAAGACGCCTGTGAAAAAAGGGGGGAAAAAAGGGAAGGAAGAAAAAAATATAAGAGAAAATAGCATGCTTTACAGAAATAAAATCCTGGGCAGTTTCACTGCTTCTCTTAGTAAGGGCAAAAGTGAGCCTGACAGGAACCAGCTATCTGGGCTTCCAGGCCCCGGGAAGCTCTGCCAGACCTGTGCAGATCGTGTCGATTCTTATTAGACATGACTGACACTGGAAATGCCAGCTTGTGAAGCTATCTTAAGAGCTGGTATGTTGCCCATCACTGTAATATCTAAACACTTTAACTGAGATTAACAAGATTGTGCTCTGCTTTGCAATGTTTTTTTCTCTCCAAAAGCTTCTCCAGCCATCCAAAGCTTGGCTCTTCAGGATTGTCTTTCCTCCACAAGAATAAACATTCTCTGAGGGGATTTCAGACAAGCATTGGGTTGGTCTGAGGAGAAGTTTTGTCACCTCTGTAGTTCAGAGCACAGAGCTAGTCCCAACTAATCTGCAAGGCTCCTGCCAGGCGCTACAAACTGTTCACTGCCACCACTGCAACCCAATGACTTGGTTAAAACACAAGAGTTGCCGTGTAGCTGAGAAGAGGATCTGCCTCTTTCCTGTCACTCGCTGCTCCCTTTCAGCATCCTAATGGTTCACTCCAGTACCTCCGTACTGCCTCTGACACCATGGGGACTGAGCACAGAGGGGTGATACACAGCGGGGCAGCAGGAGGGGGCTGATCTTAAGCCCTCGTTGAACAAACCTATTTTCCGCCTCCTCGGCCTCGCTCCCTGGTGATGCAGCATCAGCACGTCCTGTGCTGTAGTATCCTCCGGGCTGCCTGATCTTCCTTATGTCTTCTCCCTCCTTGATGATCTTGTCTCCTGGATGCAGCAGGGCTGTTG